CACATGAATGGAAAAGGCATGCAGGAAAGAACAAAAGAGGGTAGGCCAAAACCAGAGAATGGAGGACAACATAGCGGACTTCTGCTGGGCCGAACCAACACCACGTGCAGAGGAAGGAAATACCTTTGACTTGCTCTCGGGCTGTGGGGGTCCTTCTTCTTTGCCATCTGCTTTGAGAGGAAGGGGCAGTTTGGACTCACCAGGTGTCATCATATCTGCAAGACCCATAGGTGCTAATCAAAAACAGGAGAAACAGTTTAGCATGATAGGTTTGGCTTTGCAAGAAAATGCTTCCTGCTGTTAAAAACTGATGGCATATGAAGCATAGGTCTTCCACCTTCCTCTCTCCTTCTTTTATTATAGCACCTGGAAATCTGGAAGTCTCTTAGATTTAAGCAGACAAAAAACAAACAAACAAACACACAGCAAAATCATTTTACAAAGTATAAATAATATATCTCCTCAATATATGTTCCATTCTATATGCATCCGAAGAAGTGGGCTGTAGTCCACGAAAGCTTATGCTCTAATAAATTTGTTAGTCTCTAAGGTGCCACAAGTACTCCTGTTCTTTTTGCGGATACAGACTAACACGGCTGCTACTCTGAAACCTAAAATTTTAATGCCGCTGGCAAGTTTGTTTCCATAACACGATTGGGCTGTTATATAGTAGGAAGATGACAATCTTCTTTGGAAACTGTTACATCTTTCACTTTATCTAGAGCAGAACATAAGCCAAAACTGTGCATGAAAATTGTTCTGTGTGTTAATGCTGGGAAAAGGGTGAAAATTCTAGTCATACTCCTGTTTGATTTGGTGGCTAGCAGATCATGTTGCTACTTCTCTTCACTATCTGCAGCTGGAACTCCATGGTTAGGTGAGCTTTTTTATTTAAGGTACTAAAATTCTTGGGGTTCCAACACATTCATCTCTGTAAAGTCAGCTCTAAGGGAGAAATGGGCATTCAATTTTTCTCTCCTGCAGAAGTCAGGTGGGATGACAGGTGAGTACTCAGACTACATGTTCAGATAGTACTTACACAGACATCTTGTTGGGGGTGTTGTGAAGGTTAGTTAATTTTTGTTCAGTGTTTGAAGATGCAAGTGGTAAGTATATTATTACTGCAGCAGTACTGCTGAGTTTCTGGATTTCTAATATGAATGCAAGAAGAGATTTGGAGGTAAAAATACATACAATACGTGATAGAGCAGATTCTGAGAGATGACATATCATCAAATCAATGCAAATGGCCAAACAACTACTGCTAGACACTGCCTGAAAACTATGTGCACAGCATTCACTAAAAACTGGGACTGTCTATTTTATTTTTAGAGATTCAAGATAAGCAAAAGGACAGATAAAAAGGTGCAGCAAGAAAGTGGAGGAATTCGATTTGCAAAATGTACAAAATATAAGATTAGAAAAGCAACATTCTTTAAATAAAATAACATTAACCTGATGGTTGTTGGACCAGATTGCTTTTCTGCAAAATGGCAACGCTGGCTAGTCAGCACACACACAGCAGGAGGGATCTTAGGGGTGGACAGAGGAAGCTTTAAAAAATACTTCACAGATTGCCCACTACAAAATGATTATTGCACATATTCATGTATTACTATGTTTTAGAAAATAATTAGTTTTAATTATAGCAGTCAGAGAGCAAGCAGGACTCTGGCGAATAAGCTGGCAAGCTTTGCAGTGCTAATTTGCTAATACCTTTAGCATCACTGCAGGTTGAGATTATGGGTCTGCCAAAAATCTACCCAACCATGTGCCATGTGAGTTTACAACTGTATGCTTAATATTCTGTGTAGAACTACCGGTGTTTTTCAAGGGCATGTTTTCTTGTTTTTTTCCCAAAGCATATTTGTAGCCCAATCAACCCCTTAAAGACATCACAACACAGAAATCATAATTGAGACACTTTAAAAAAATTACTTGCAATACTTAGAGACTTTAAGAATTGGAACAAAAAGCCTTTTTCAAATGATGCAGCTGCAGCAAATATCTATTGAGATCAGCTAAAAACGCTGTTATTTTTATGAATGTGTGTGAAACCTCAACAAAACAACCAAGCAATATTATGCTGAGAAGCCTGCCTGTATTAAACATCTGATTTGTATGCAGTATTGCCCTTAAACTCCCTTGAAAGAACAAGGCAGCTTGTGACCAGTATAAATTGAGGACCAGTATCTTGACACTTTTACTTTTTTAATCCTACAGATCTTTAAAATAAGTTTGTTTCCCTAAAACAACACCATCACAACCAACAAAAAACAAACCAAAGAACAGAAAACCCACTTTTATGTAAGAAAGCATAAAATGTGCTCCTATAATTTGGTTCCAAACTGACATAATGTTAACCCATGTAACTGTTACAGAATTTCATGCCATAGAAGCTGAAAACAGAAAGTAAAAATCAGCTAACCACTAACCACATTTCTGCAGCAGAACATCACATGACTAAATCCTTCTTTTTATAAATTTATTTGATATTCTTTTCTTGTAATTCTGTTTATATCAGAGGTTACGATTATGAATCCTGTTTTTTGAAGTGTTATAAATTAATAGTTTAATAAAAAAACAAATGACCCAAGTCTGCAACTTACCACTGTATTAGCCATTTTTTAAATTCACTAAAAAAAAAAATCAAATAATAATTTTGGTTGGCAAATTATTTTGAACTTTTCTGATTTTATCTGCTTTGCAGTGTACTTAAAGACGATTCCATGTGTGCTGGTAACAGGGATTGTCAGTGAAGACAACTATGAAAAACTTTTTATTTAATGAAGTGCTCTGAAAAGTGGTTAACAATCTTTGTTCTATGTTTATTATTGGTTCATCTACCTTGCAATGGAAACTGCAAGGGCTTTGCTATGTTCATTGTAAGACTGTCTAGTTTCCTTGTAGCTTCTGTAAGTACTTCTCCATCCTCTGCTGAAATGCTGTTTCATAACTTCTTGCAAGAATACTCCCCAGTGATTTGCAACAGACAACCCTTCACTTTCTAGTACAATGTCACACTAGGGGCATTATTTTGACCCTTTTCCAAGCAGTGGGAGAACATCACTGTCACAAAACTCTGCTAAATTAAGACATCAACCCTTTCTATACAGATACTAATAATCCTGCATCTGAAGTGCAGACCAAAAGATAAAAAGTAAAAAAGAGGATAACAGGGAAATTTGTGACTCAAAAAAAGTGTTGCAGTGTACTGTGAATAGGTTTCAAGTTCTAGCCTCTCGCTTTATTATAAGAATATAAGAACTACAATGATTTCATAAAACAAGTATGAATTAGCTATTCTATGCTGAATTTAATGTACTCAAAGGTATATGTGACATGAGTAAAACTGCAGCCAAGTATTCTTTTTGCTAAAAGTTGACTATCAGTTCCAAAAGATGGTGAAATATTAAGAGCAGCAATACACAAACATTGCTTTTCTCTTTATTGCTAGTGCAATAACAAATCACACCCTACAAAACAGAATATTTTGGCCTCTCGCTCTCTCCCCCTTGCATATAGTGTTGCCAGTAGGGTGACCAGATAGCAAATGTGAAAAATCGAGACGGGGTGGGGGGGTAATAGGAGCCTATATAAGAAAAAGACCCCAAAATTGGGACTGTCCCTATAAAATCAGGACATCTGGTCACCCTAGTTGCCAACCCTCCCAGTTTCGCCGGGAGTCTCCCGGAATCTGGCTCTATCTCCCGGAGGCTACTGAAGCCAAACCAGGAGATTTTAGGCTGCTAAAAGTCCCGCGGCGCAGCAGAGCTAAGGCAGGCTCTCTGCCTGCCCTGGCTCTGCACTGCTCCCGGAAGCGGCTGGCAACTCCCTGCAGCCCCAGAAGGGTGGCAGGGGGGCTCTGTGCGCCGCCCCCGCCCTGAGCGCCGACTCCGCAGCTCCCATTGGCCAGGAATGCCTGCAGGCAGGGGTAGAGCGTGGAGCCCCCTCCTGTCCTCCCTCAGGGGCCGCAGAGACATGCCGGCCACGTCCGGGAGTGGTGCGGGGCCAGAGCAGGCAGGGAGCTTGCCTTAGCCTTGCTGCGCCGACACTCGGGAGCTGCCCGAGGTAAGCGCCGCCTGGCTGCAGCCCATACCTCTCACCCCCTCCTGTACTCCAACCCCCTGCTCCAGCCCTGAACCCCCTCCTGCACCCAAACTCCCTCCCAGAGCCTGCACCCCCTCCTACACCTCAACCCCCTGTCCCAGCCCTGAGCCCCCTCCTCGCACCCAAACTCCCTCCCAGAGCCTGCACCCCCTCCTACACCCCAACACCCTGCCCCAGCTCTGAGCCCGGCCCCCCCTCCAACACTCCAAACCCCTTGGCCCCAGCCGAGAGCCCACACCCCTGCCCCAACCCCTAGCTCCTGCCTAGTGAAAGTGTGTGAGGGTGGGGGAGAGCAAGTGACAGAGGGAGGGGGGATGGAGTGAGTGGGACGGGGCCTCAGAGAAGGGGCATAGCAGGAGTAGGGCCTCAGGGAAGAGGTGGGACAGGGGGCAGGGCAAGGGTGCTTGGGTTTGTGTGATTAGGTAACCCTAGCATGCACACACACAAAAGTGAATTTAGTGCTCATGTCAGATTGACAGCATTGAAATCTCAAATACTTTTCACATCCACAGAAGAGGTACAGCATGGACAGCAGCACTGCCAATGTGCCTCAAACCCTTGCCTGAGGAGACCTCAGGCTATAGGTGAAAGGATAACCTAGGTCCTGATAGCGCAAAGACCTGTGCATATGAGCAGTCCCATCAACTTCAATTAAACTACTCATGTAAGTAAAGTTAAGCAGAAGTCTTTGCAGGAGTTTGGGCCCTAATCTTTGTGACCATTCAATCTCTGATGAGACTGCGAACTATGACTTTGTGATGTGGATATCTGTCCACTAAGAACTGGCAAGACATCAAGTCATACAAGTTACAGAATGACAGTCACTACCAATATGGGCCTAGAGGTGAACAGATCCATATACTGTTACTAATTCTACAAATCATATAGTCCCCTGAGAATTTTAGTAGCTGTAGTAGTTTCAATGTGCATATACAGGGGCTGGGTTGAAGGGTGTATCACATAGCAGGAGATGATGACCTCAGTGAAGCTTTTTAAGTGACTCTGGAGCAGGGTTAAAAATCAAAAGAAGTGTCCAAAATCCTCAGAAAAATCTAGTCAGCATAGGGAAAATCATTTGATAGGCTGGTGAGCATTTGGCCACAACTTTTCTAAATCTGATCACCAATTGTAACCTTACAATAGGCCCCTTTTTTTCTCCTGTGGAAGAATGGAGATTATCCCTCATCCCTATAGAAAAGTGAGACCCCCTGGGAAGCCGATTGGCAATGCTGCTTTATCAGCCAGAGGAGTTACTGATGAGAAATATGAGGCGCATTTTCATTGTAAGAGATCAGAAAAATGGAAATGTAACTAAATAGCAACATAGTGAAAAATATATTCATTTTCTAAAAAAAATCTAATTTTTAATAACGTAATTGTTATCCATATCAAGCACTTGGCCAATTACAAAAATATGTATGATTTTTAACTTGACAGTGTCCCTTCAATTTCTTTAGCATAAACACCGTTTTCCAGGATCTTATTTTCATAATTTGGAATTTCTGAGGTAAATAATTTAAAATCAATAATAAAAGAAAGAAAATGCCAGGTCTGTGTGGGACAGAAAACTTGGGTCTGTAATGAGGGCTGTCCCTTGTAATACGAGAGAGATGAAGTTCTGCTCAATGTTCTATGCATCTGTGGAAGTGCAAAGGAAATCAGGCCTGGTCTATACTTAAAATGTAGGTTGACATAGCTATGGCACTTGGGGGGTGAAAAATCCACACCTGTGAGCATTGTATGTCAACCTAACCCCCAATGTAGACACAGCCAGGTTGATGGAAGACATCAACCTAGCTACTGACACTCAGGGAGGAGGTATTCCATATCCTACAGAGATGGAAAAACCCATTCTGTCACAGTAAGCTGCGTCTACACTATGGGGCTATACTGGCATAGTTATGGCACAGTAACTACAGGCCCTGTAGGGTAGAATGGCCTCAATGTCACTTTCTGATTCTCATGCACAAGCACAGTGCTGAAACATTTGAGATTCAAGGGCTCCATGGGACTGATTGTTCAAATAATCAATTTCCATTAGAATTTTAAAACCACCTCATGAAAATATTTTTTATTGGGTTTAAGCTTTGTGAAAAATTAGTGTTATTCTTTTTTTAAAAAAAGCAAACTATTGGGTCAATTTAACTCTAAATAAGATAATATATATCTAAGAGATATAAACCCGTGTGTTTCAGGATAAAAGCTGATGGGGGGAAGGGAAAAGGAAAAACTTCCTCTATGGCAGTTTGTTTCATAATTGTCAAGAGATCCTAGCACTTTCTTCTGAAGCATCTGGTACTGTCATAGAGAGGACACTGTACTAGACAGACCACTGGTTTGATCCAGCCTGGCAACTCCTATGTTCCTAAATTACTCTGTGTCAGCAGAAATTGTGAATGTGCTCTGCTTTATACACGGTGACTGCGTAAGTAATATGATGTAGAATTGCAAAGCTATCTTCTGTGGAACTTGTGGCATCTGTTTAATTTAAAATACCAAAGAAAAAAACAAGGCGGACTGGGAATAATAAATATTAATAATAAAAATCCAATCTGCAAAAACAAATATTAGGTCATATTGAGCAACAATGCAACTCTATTTTGAATAAAACCACTGTAGAAATAATCCTTAATAACATCAGCACAAAATCCCTCTCTCTTGTATGGAGTAAATTCTTAAAATATGCTTGTGTTTTTTAAAAAAATCCCCTTGTGCTTACTGATTTTTTCCCCTGGCATTATAGCTGAAGAAATAGTTGTCACATTCATATTCCTGCTGGCTCTATTTAAATAATTACTTGCTCACTGAAGCTTGTAACAATTTGTCACTACACAAGAGGGGTTTTTTTTGGCCCTGTATACTACCTAAAACATATTTTAACTGCCATGTTGTCTTAACTTAGCAGAACAATGGCTGAAGTGCCAATCAGCAAAGTTGGTGTCAATGGCACACTAAATTCCATTTTCACTCATGTAACAGTCTTCATCTGTATGCTCTTTACCTTCTCAAATGCTGCACTTCAGCAAGAACAGAGCATTCTGGCTACCCCAACGTCTCCCCTCTACCCAACACAAAGTTATCATAACTTCTGCAGTTAGAGCAGTTATTATTTTGGAAGTTCAACCTCTTACTTGCTTGATGTGGGTGGACTGGGGATGGGGATGTTTCAGGACATGGGAGAAATGGAGAATTCCCTTTGCTCACCACCAGCATATTCTCAAATTAGGCTTCTCTTTTCTTTTCACCCTGGTCTGATACATTGCATATGCTCTCTTGTAGTCCTACTTCAAGAACCAGTACAGCACAATACACATATGGTGTGTGTGCACACATCTCATATTTCACTTCCCATTGGGTAACCTCCCAATTAATAAGACTGGAACAAAAGAAAAACCTCACAAATGCACAAGAGGAAAAAAACCTCTGATAAATGTTTAAATTATTAAAAATCCAATATTTCAGAATGCATAACACAATAAAAAGAATATGACTAGCCCATACAAAAGACTGCTAGGATAAATGGCCTTGCATTGAACAGATTTCCACTGTATGAAATAATGAATGGCTGAATTATCTGAACAAAAAAAACCCTCTGTGAATCTTCCTTTAAACTGGTTATTCCTTAGGAATACATAAATCTTCTTAGGCAGGGAACTCTGCCATCTGTTTGTTGTTGGTTATTTTTGCAGCTCTGGGGGCCAAAGAAAAAGGAGGAAAAATTACTGCTGCTAATGGCAAGCCAGAATTTATAGTGTAGTTTCAATGCTCAGAAGTAATTTTATTTCAGCAAGCCAGACAAAACACATAACTACACAACCCAAATACAATATTACCTGGGACAGCTGTGGTGGGGGAAATGCAAGGCATTAACTAATAGCCTGTTCAATAGCTTTTCCCTTTTCGTCCAGAATGTAAGTGTGCTGCCTGGACAAATAAATGGCTGCCTAGCCAATGTTAAGGAAAAGCAATTTTATTTTATTTTTTAAAATCTTTCTGATTCCATTTTTTTCTTCCACTAACAGAAAACATACCATGATCACTTGAAAAATAAGTTAGCTGGGAATACCTCTGTTTAATTGTGGTCAAGGGGAAAAAAAGCAACACCCTGGACATTATGAGGTACTATGATGTCACTGTCCATTTTCTATCTGAAAGCAAAAGAGGACTGATAGTTGAAGAGGAAAAAAATTAGAAAGGATGAGAAGGAAGGAGGAAAGAAACAGGGAGAGTAGAGTTGGGAGAAAGATATAAAACCCTAGGCTCTTGGTAAGATACAGTTCATCTTGTACTTGACATGCTGTACTGCTTAAGCAACAAAAGGTAAGTCAGGTACTGTACCAGCTGAAGAGAGGAATCCCATCAACTTGCCTGACCTTTGTAACACCTTTCTAGTAACCCCACAATAACCAAAGCTTTTTCAAGAAGAATAACTATAAATAGCAAGTGCATTGATAGAGACTCAAAGGTTTGGGCTCAAGCATTCAGAAGTTATGCGTTAGGGCAGGGATACTCAGACCTCAGTGGTTCAGGAGCCAAATTAGCAATTAACATTACCCAAAAGAATGTGAATTCATTGTTTCATTTACTATGAAATAATATATGATATAAAAATGTATATTATTGTCACAGCAAAATGACTGACCAAGCATTATTATTTTATCAACTACAATTGGTTAATAACATAGTAAAAGATATTGAGTGGTTAAATAACTTAGATTGGTTAATTAAATCACACAGTGTTTTAATATCGGGTGCTGCAAAGAACTGCGAGAGGCACATTAAAGAGCCACCTGTGGCTCGGGTGCTTCAGTCTGGGTATCACCGCCTTAGGGTCATTGAAATCCTATCCCAAACTCCCTAATGTCTTGGAGAATCATAAGAATAAACTCTTACTCAGATGTGATCTTGCAGGAATTTAGCTGTTAACATTTCAGATGGGGTGGGGAGCCTCTCAATATTGTACACTTTAACATGTAACACAGAAGCATATTATCAACAGAGAATTACATTAATTTGTCTCCCTTTCACAGGTGCTATGGGGCATGGAAGCCACATACAGTGCAACAAATAACAGTACTAATAATAATCTTAAACTCCCATAGTGCAAGGCACAACCTGTAACACAATTTTAGCAGGTATTTCAAATATATCTTGTTTGCATTTGGCACTTTTTTCCAGTTATGACTGAATCCAATTGTTTCATATAGTAAATGTCAACAAGCAAAGGAAAGAAGCACTATATAGATATACCGACTTTGCAAATACAATGTATATGGTACACATTTTCAAAAGTGACTAGTTATTGTGGGTGCCCAACTTATAGCACCTTGAAGTGGCCTGATTTTCAGAAGACAGATGCTTAGCGCTTTCTAAAAAACAGGCCCATTTTCAGTGTCTCAAGTTGGGATCTCAAAGAGTAAGGCACCCAAAATTAGTCACTTTTGAAAATGTAGGAGTCTCTCTCTCTCTCTCCACACGCCCAAAAGGTAGGCCAAGTTTGGACTCAACTTCAAATATGCTGCAATAACTTTTCAAAATCATCACATTCATGTACACACTATGTGAGAGGATTTGATTGTAGCAGAAATGTATCAAGTATTTCACCAAAAAATCTGAGCACCTCAACTCAGTATAGAGTTAATAACATGCACTTAGCTGGTAAACTGTATAAAGGATAATCCCTCTGCCATCATTCGAGGGCTTGTACCTTTAAAGAGATTCATGGAGGAAGGTCACTCCTGAAACGTTACCCACCATTACCTGTTGAACTGTTCACCATGTTAGGTGCCATGCTGTAAGGAGGAGCTTGTGGGTTCATCAGGCCAGAGCTGTTGTTCATCGGCTGTGTGTAGGGAGAACTGGATCCCATAATACCACTCTGATTCATGCCAGGAAAACTGCCTTGCCTATGTGAAGAGAAAGCACACGCACAGGCTCTCATTACGTATCTATCTCACTGTGGGGTGTGTTATGGTTCGTCAGAGCATTCATCTCTTAGCATTCACAGGTAGCTAAGGAAGAGGCAGGCAATTAGTTTTTTACCTGCTTTGGGAGGCTATTAGTGTTGAATTAGTTACTGTATAATCTGAGACAGAATTAGATCGAACACAAACCTCCAGAAATGTACACACTTATTAATTTGAACTGATACAACATAACATCACGCAAGGAGGTATAGATTATTATCTGTTCCAAGGGAACAGAGTGATGGACTCGGAGGAGGGAGAAAGGAGAATTTGAAATTGGCATAAGAAAAGCAACTGGGACAAGTTCTGTTTAAAAAATAAAGTTCTTTTGATCCTATATTAAAGCTCCTTTGTCTGTCACAAAAGCCACACAAACCAAACCAAACCAAACCAAAATACCCCTGGGTGAGTGGGGGTCATTTTTAGGAAATTCACTTATTTGCTCTTATCAAAGGTGTCTTGTTTGCAATAAGATTTCAAATCCCTCTAGTGGAGAGTGAACATTAGTTGTACATGAAAACGTATCTACACATCTTGGGCTCTTTGAGAACCATTAATGGCCAAAAGTAGCTTCAATGGAATTTTCAAATCAAACCATGTGAATGTCATACATTGTTGCTGCTGCTTCTTCCCCCCAAAACCAAGCTTCTGCACCACAGCAGATTTTTCTCTTGTCAGTCCTGACCTTGTTCACAGGGTTATGGAATCAGTCCTTCAGTAGATGACACCAAAAGAATTAAGGTAAAGAACCTGATTATGGACTTGATGACAGCACTGGGCACAAAACATACACCAGTCTGCAATCCTGCAAACAGGTATGTATGTTCTTTACTGACAAAAGAAATCTCAATGGAATTACTCATATGCTTAAAAGTTACCCTCATGTATATACGTTTGCATGACTGGGATCTTAGTTTGCACAAGAAGGTGTTCTGAATGAAGCCTTGCCAAATGATACTCCTCCACTCACCAGGGACCAGTAATTTTTTTTGAAGAACAAGTAAAATATCATTACTTTTTTTTAAATTATCATCAATCTAGTAAAGGCTAGACAGAAGATTTTGTGCCTGGGCTAGCAAATTTTCATGAACAAAAGGAATTTGCTTAGTTGTGTAAACTATTGGTTTGGCAGTTCTTTATAGTAAACACAATGCCCATTCCACTCAAAAAATAGCCCCTTTATTCCTTACATCTCTAATGTAATTATGTACCATACATTGGTATACTTATATCTGCGCACACATATTGGTATTCATCATACATATATATACACATATAAAAACACATGCACAAGTATACTTGTGTATGCATATCATGTGTGTGAAAATACAAACCTCAAATCTAAGAGTTTCTCCATTAAACATCTCGTAAATTTTATTTTGTGCTTTTCAAAACACAAAATAAAAAAGTTACAAACCCACCTTTAGTGACCCCTTCTAACAGAGAGAACATTTAACTACCTTACAAGTACATAAAATGGCATTTTTTGGTGGCAGATTGCAGGTTTGGTACAAATACTTTTTTCAGCATTATGTTATATATATATATATAAAAAGAAAAAGAAAAAACGGAACAAACAAACCAATCCCAAAACATAAAACCAAACCTACAACTTCTGAATGACTTGACTAGCTTCAGTATTTTTTCATTTGTTTGCAAAATAATGTTAGATTTCCAAGATCTTTGACAGGACTTGATCTTTTCCTTTGGGAGTGGGCTAGAGCGCATTAAAGCACCATTTGGCTTAATTTTTCCAAATACGTTGTGAATTTCTTTAAAGGAGTAGAGAATGTATTGTCTAAATAAAGCATTTTTTAAAAATCAGTTTTGTCCTTTGCTCTGTCACTCCTGCGAAGAGGCAAAGGATTTCTTTTGATATGAAGGAGACAACTGCCATACAATGTCATTTCTCTGCTGAAGCAGGTGATGAGTTGTGGAGGGAATTTTTAAAAAAATGCATAGTGGGGCAAATCTCCAAGGGAAAATTATAAAGGGAAATAAAGAGTAGGACCATTTGGCAACAACTTTAAAAGAGTTCAGTGTTACAATCGAGCTTTTCTTATGTAAATATTGTAACCTTTCAAAAGAAAGCACTTCTCAGAGTTTTGGCTAAAAACTGTTATATATCACAAGTATATCTGGCGGAAAAAAGGTTTTACTCTGAATAAATGAGATCCTTATCATTAAGGGCTACAAATACTAACAAAATGGGGAAAGCCTGCATGTCTTTTTCTATGTCATAATACACAAAACATATGTTCTGAAAGGTTCTTTCAAGGGGTGGGATGGGAAGGAGAGACAGGAAATAAGCTTCAGAAGCCAAGTCTCTCTCATGTCTGCCATTTGCTTTTAAAGAAACAATGCAGATCTCCACCTAGCAAGCAAACAGAAAATGCTCTTGGTTCAATAATATTATAACAGTACTACAACAATACCATATCTTCTTAATAGCATCATTCATGCCAAATTGTTTAATTAACTATGGGGCTCCAAGGAGGTGTAAGCATCCATCTGTAAAGATCTGGTTGTAGGACTGGGGTGGGGGTCTTAAATTGACACACAAACTATATAATGGATCACATCACCTACCACGGTGATCGAACATGACACTTGCTAAGCAGTGCACAATAACACTATACAACAGGAAGTGCAAAACTATTTCAAGTTGAAACTGCAAGTGGGAATTAGGTAAACATAATGAGATGGCTATCTTTGGCCAGGACATCCAAAAAACTACCCAATCTTTGAAAAAGTGCCTTGGAATCCTGAATGACCACAATGACAATAAATGGCAGAAAGAGAGGTTACTTCCCTTGAGCAATAACGAGCTCTTGTGTCCCTGAGGGTGCTCCACTTTAGGTGCACATGCTCCCCTGTGCCTTTGATCAGAGATTTTTGGTAGCAGTGCCCATTGTGCCTGTACATGTGCCCTACACATCCTCATGCCCCATACCAAGGCTATACAGCACTGTGCAGGCAAACCACTTCAGTTCCTTCTCTACACACAATGTTGTCTGTCATGATCTTGATGGACTTGTTTTTGAGTAGGGGAAGAAAGTGGAGGCAAGCATTTCTGACTGTCCTTAATTCGAATTCCAACAGACTGATGTGCAAGTGTTGTGCCCATTTACCTTGGACTGTGTGAGAACCCAAATGTGCTCTGCATGCCATGATGGAAGTGTCCAATATTAATATGACTGTAGAGGATTCTGGTTGAGCAGGATTTTTGCACAAAACTTTGAATGGATTCATCCACCAGATGACTGTAGGACCTGACTGGGTACAGATACCTGCTTGTTGACACTGCGTTTATTGGGTACATAAACAGTCCTAAGCTACCCCAGAAACATCGAATATACAACCTGGAGTTTTGTGTTACAAAAATGCAAGATGCCATGTGTTCCAGCAGTTTCAGACATCCTTGCTGGAACTTGTCGGCTGAGCTGCAATCTTTGTATAAGGTTCTTTAGCACAAGGAACCCATGGAGAGGGAGATAAGTTCTGCCCCCTATCGACTCCAGAATCAAACCAATTTGTTGTACGGGGGTCAAGATTGATTTATCAAGATTTATATGCAGGCCTAGACTTCAGAATAGATAAGTTGTTTGAATTGCTGATCACACCTCCTGGTATGACTGACCCAGGAGAAGCCAATCATTGGAGTAGGGAAAGACAATTAATCCTAGACGATAGCAGTAGGCATCGATGACCTCCATGATTTTGAGAACACCTTTGGGGCCGATGACAGGCTAAAGGGTAGGACCTGATACTGGTAATGATTGTGACTGAAAGTGAAAAGAACAACTCTTTTGTGGGAAGGATGGATCGCTACATGGAAGAAGGTATCTTTGAGGATGAGGGTCGCAAACCAGTCCCTTGATTCCGGGGAGGGAATTATAGCTGCTAGGGAGGCTACCCTGAATTTCAGATGTCTGGAATCCTTATTCAATTGTCTGAGATCTAGTATTGGCCTCCAACCCCCGTTTTTCTTGAGTATCAGAAAATATCTTGAATAGAATCTTTCCCCCCCGTGTTGAAGTGGAACGGACTCTATGGCTCCTAGACTTAGGAGTGATGAGATCTCCTGTGTCAGCAATTGCTTGTGAGAGGGGTCCCTGACACGGGATGGGGAAGAGGATTGGAAGGGTGGGGTGGAAGTAAATTGGATAGTATAACCCGAAGTAATGGCTTCCAATACTCATTTGTCCAGTGTTATAACCTCCCACGCTTGATGAAATAGAGAGAGGGAATGTCCAATTTGAGGAAGTGGGTTGTGTCATGTGGCTGATGACACCTTGTCATTGGGTAGTCTGGATTCTCAACAAAACCATCAAAACTGACATTTAAACAATGTTGACGACTGGGATAAAGAAGTCATGATAGTTGCAGGCTTTTTCATTGAAAACCTTGACCTCTTAGCTGGTGGTTCTGGTGGAAAATTGAGCAGGGCAGGATCTTTATGTTGACTGACAGCTGCTAAACTTCCTTTTATTTACAGATGTGTATATCCCTAAAGACCTAAATGTTGTCCGAGAATCCTTTAGGGTAAGAAGAGACTCGTCCGTGGAATCTGCTAAAAGTTTCTGGACATCAAAAGGTAAATCTTCCACAGTTGACTGCACCTTCTGCAGAAACCTGGACAACTGAATTCAGGAAGCTTGCCTCATCACGACTGCCGTGGAAATAGACCTGGTTCTAGTGTCTGCCACATCGAATGAAGCCTGAAGTGAATTTTTTGCCAAAAACTGACTCTCCTTTAAAATGTGCTTAACTGTTCTTGAAGTTCCTGTGGTAAATGATCAATAAAAGCATTAACTTTTCATAGTTCATGTAGTCATATTTTGACAACAGCATCTGGTGGTTAGCTATCCTGAACTGAAGTGTTGCTGACAAACAGCTCTCATGACAAAAGAGCCCCAGCCCCATATAGCCCCTTATTA